GCTGCACTACTGTAGTGCACGTACCTGCACTACTGTAGTGCATCTAGCTGCACTACTGTAGTGCACGCAGCCTCACTACTGTAGTACACACAGCTACACTACTGTAGTGCACGCAGCTGCACTACTGAAGTGCATGCAGCTGCACTACTGAAGTGTACCTAGCTGAACTACTGTAGTGCACGTAGCTGAAGTACTGTAGAGCATGTAGCTGCAGTACTGTAGTGCACATAGCTGCACTACTGTAGTGCACATAGCTGCACTACTGTAGTGCACAGAGCTGCACTACTGTAGTGCACATAGCTGCACTATTGTAGTGCACATAGCTGCACTACTATAGTGCACCTAGCTGCACTACTGTAGTGCACCTAGCTGCACTACTGTAGTGCACCTAGTTGCACTACTGTAGTTCACGCAGTTGTGCTACTGTAGTGCATGCAGCTGAACTACTGTAGTGCACGTAGCTGCACTACTATACTGCACGCAGCTGCACTAATGCAGTGCACCTACCTGCACTACTACAGTGGACGTAGCTGCAATACTGCAGTGCACGTAGCTGCACTACTGTAGTGCACCTAGCTGCACTACTGTAGTGCACCTAGCTGCACTACTGTAGTGCACCTAGCTGCACTACTGTAGTGCACCTAGCTGCATTACTGTAGTGCACGCAGCTGCACTATTGTAGTGCACACAGCTACACTACTGCAGTGCACGTAGCTGCACTACTGTAGTGCACGTAGCTGCAGTACTGTAGTGCACGTAGCTGCACTACTGTAGTGCCCCTAGCTGCACTACTGTAGTGCCCCTAGCAGCACTACTGTAGTGCACCTAGCTGCACTACTGCAGTGCACCTAGCTGTACTACTGTATTGCACGCAGCTGCGCTACTATAGTGCACACAGCTGCACTACTGTAGTGCACGCAGCTACACTACTCTAGTGCACGCACCTGCACTACTGTAGTGCATGCAGCTGCACTACTCTAGTGCACCTAGCTGCACTACTGTAGTGCACCTAGCTGCACTTCTGTAATGCACGCAGCTGCACTACTGTAGTGCACGCAGCTGCAATACTGTAGTGCATGCAGCTGCACTACTGTAGTGCACCTAGCTGCACTACTGTAGTGCACCTAGCTGCACTACTGTAGTGCACCTAGCTGCACTTCTGTAGTGCACCTAGCTGCACTTCTGTAGTGCACCTAGCTGCACTACTGTAGTGCAATTAGCTGCACTACTGTAGTGCACTTAGCTGCACTACTGAAGTGCACACAGCTGCACTACTTTAGTGCACGTACCTGCACTACTGTAGTGCACCTAGCTGCACTACTGCAGTGCACCTATCTCACTACTGTAGTGCACCAAGCTGCACTACTGTAGTGCACCTAGCTCCACTACTGTAGTGAACTTAGCTGCGCTACTGTAGTGCACCTATCTGCAATACTGTAGTGCACGAAGCTGCACTCATGTAGTGTACGCAGCTGTAATACTGTAGTGCATGCAGCTGCACTACTGTAGTGCATGCAGCTGCACCACTGCACTGCATGCAAATGCACTACTGCAGTGCACCGACGTGCACTTCTACCGTGCACCTAGCTGCACTACTGTAGTGCACATAGCTGCACTTCTGTAGTGCATGCAACTGCACTACTGTAGCGCATGCAGCTGCACTACTGTAGTGCATGCAGCTGCACTACTGTAGTGCACGCAGCGGCATTACTGTAATGCACGCAGCTGCACTACAGTAGTGCACGCAGCTGCAGCTAGGTGCACTACAGTAGTGCAGCTGCATGCACTACAGTAGTGCAGCTAGGTGCACTACAGTAGTGCAGCTATGTGCACTACAGTAGTGCAGCTACATGCAGTACCGTAGTGCAGCTAGGTGCACTACAGTAGTGCAGCTACATGTACTACAGTAGTGCAGCTACGTGCACTGCAGTAGTGCAGCTGCATGCACTACAGTAGTGCAGCTATGTGCACTACAGTAGTGCAGCTGTGTGCACTACAGTAGTGAAGCTAGGTGCACTACAGTGTTTCACAACATTGCCAGTGTAATAGTCACCAGCAGGGCTTGCAATAGCTGTGTCAGGATGATTTTCATCAAAAAAGGTTTGCACTTTAAGCCACATTCAACACATTTCCTTAATCTTTGAAGCAACTAACTAACTCAATTTCTCTCTCCCCTCCTCCGGAGCAGTTTCCCCAATTCAATTCAATCCAAAGTTTATTCTCTATAAGGATTACAATGCTGAGTTTACAAAATTTGGTGTGGTTTACATGTAGTAAAGTACTAATTACAAAGGGTGCCACTAGAACACCTAGCATGGCTAGGCATTTCGAGCAGACTTATTTTAATTCTAAAATTTAAAATATTACAAATTATGAGGTAAGTTGGTATTATGGCTAAGTGACTAAATACTAGTTTGAGAGTTTAGAAAAGTGAATGCTTTTGTTTTGGCACAATACATAGTTTCAGTATTGGAGTATCACAGGCCAACTTATGACTAGTTAGGATTTATTATTTTAAGATTGAGATTGATATGTCTGTTTATGGTCAAATGGGTGAGTGTCTGAACCACCAGGTGGTATTCATGTAATTAGTTGAAGGGGTGTATCAGGGAGATAAGATGTTTTCTAATGGTAGTTTTGAAGGTGATGAATGTGTCTGCAGTTCTAGAGTTTTCAGGTAGGGTATTCCAGATTTTAGGGCCTTTGACATACATTGAATTTTTGTAAAGGTTTAGTCGGACACGGGGAATGTCATAGAGATGTTTGTCTGGTGTTATGCCTGAGGGTTCTGTCACAACTATCAAGAAAGCATTTTAGGTCAAGGTTAATATTGGAATTTAAGGTCCTTTAGATGTAGACTGCACAGTAGTAAGTGTGGATGTACTGAACAGGGAGTAAGTTTAGATCAATGAGGAGTGGGGGGGGGGGATGGGATTTAGTGATCATTCTTACTGTGGCTTTTTGTTGGGTTATTGGCTTTAGGTGTGTTGCTGCAGTTGATCCCCAAGCACAAATAGCACAGGTGAGGTATGGATAAATAAATGAGTGGTATAGTGTGAGAAGGGCATTTTGTGGCACGTAATATCGTATCTTGGAGAGTAGGTCTGGCCTCTTGCTGTTGAAGATCATCTAGCAGCTCATCAGTGGTTAGTTCTTCATTGTCCTCCTCCACCAACTCTTCCACATCCTCCCCACTAACCTCCAACCCCAAGAACTTCCCCAATGCCACAATGGATTCCTCAACTGGCACACGCTTCTCAGGGTTAGCCTCAAATCCTTCAAAATCCCTATTGTCTACACATTCTGGCCACAGTTTCTTCCAAGCAGAGTTCAAGGTCCTCTTAGTCACTTCCTCCCAAGCCTTACCTATAAGGTTTACACAATTGAGGATGCTAAATAGATCTCTCCAAAACTCTCTTAGAGTCAATTGAGTTTCCGAGGTCACTACAAAGCACCTTTCAAACATAGCTTTTGTGTAGAGTTTTTTGAAGTTTGCAATGACCTGCTGGTCCATGGGCTGCAGGAGAGGAGTGGTATTAGGAGGCAAAAACTTGACCTTAATGAAGCTCATGTCTGCAGAAAGTCGCTCTGCCACGTCTGAAGGATGACCAGGAGCATTGTCTAATACAAGGAGGCACTTAAGGTCCAATTTCTTTTCAATTAGGTAGTTTTTCACAGTGGGGGCAAATGCATGGTGTAACCAGTCATGGAAAAAGTCCCTAGTGACCCATACCTTACTGTTTGCCCTCCACAGCACACACAAATTAGCCTTGAGGACATTGTTTTTCCTGAACACTCTGGGAGTTTCGGAGTGATACACCAATAAAGGCTTCACTTTGCAATCACCACTAGCATTGGCACACATCAACAGAGTAAGCCTGTCTTTCATAGCCGTATGTCCTGGGAGTGCCTTTTCCTCCTGAGTAATGTAGGTCCTGCTTGACATTTTCTTCCAAAACAGGCCTGTTTCGTCACAATTAAACACTTGTTCAGGTTTCAATCCTTCAGCCTCCATGTACTCCTTGAATTCCTGCACATATTTTTCAGCAGATTTTTGGTCCGAACTGGCAGCCTCACCATGCCTTATCACACTATGTATGCCACTACGATTCTTAAATCTCTCAAACCAACCTTTGCTGGCCTTAATTCACTCACATCACCACTAGTTGCAGGCATTTTTCTAATTAAATCGTCATGCAACTTCCTAGCCTTTTCACATATGATCGCTTGAGAGATGCTATCTCCTGCTATCTGTTTTTCATTTATCCACACCAATAACAGGCTCTCAACATCTTCTAACACTTGCGATCTCAGTTTCGAAAACATAGTTGCACCTTTGGCAAGAACAGCTTCCTTGATTGCCATTTTCTTGGCCACCACCATAGTAGTAATGGTTGATTGGGGTTTACTATACAATCTGGCGAGGTCGGAGACACGCACTTTACTTTCATACTTAGCAAAGATCTCTTTCTTCATATCCATAGTAATTCTCACCCTTTTGGCTGTAGGGTTGGCACTAGAAGCTTTCTTGGGGCCCATGGTGACTTATTTTGCAGGTGAAATCACTAAAAACACTGTGATAATATGAAATGTTCAGATTGTATGTTTGGATGGGACCGAGGTGGCTGGCTGGCTTGTAAACACTGGCACCCACGGAACAAGTGAGGCGCGCTCAGGCCATAAGTGGACGCATCTCGAATGGAACGAATTGCGTTGGTCGAGTTTTTTAGCGCTAGTAGAGGCAAAATTTTTGTGTTAAAATGTATTGCTAGTCGGATTTAATGTTATACAATACCATCGTTGGTCGAGGGTCCACTGTACTTTCATACATTCCCTTCTTTGTCTCCATGGATGATGTTTTTTGTCTCCACAGATACCTCAACACACCACTCACCTTTTTTCCTTCATTTCTATAATTAACCTCATCCTTCATATGCATATTTATTTATTTTACACACACATTACAATTCTCTTGAAAAGTGAATACTGAAACACTCCAGAAATAGAAAATAAAAGTGTAAATTTATTGTCACAACAACGGCAAAATTCAGCCTATTACAAACGTAATATATAATGTTGACTGTTATGCTTGTTGGTATGTATAGTAGTTGAATCAAGGAAATAATACAACTCTCACATATGTTTTTTTTTTTCTTTTAGATTAAGCAGTTTGGGTATGTATGAATGGTGTCAGTGGTTGCTGCCTCCTATTATAATAAATGTTTTAACCTTATATTGCAGGCCATTCCCAAACTGAAAGTTCATTCTGTGTCATCATTTAGAAAACTTATCTTCTAAAATAGCACTGAAATAATTCTAAAGATGACATAAAAAATGGAAAATTGGATGTAATAGGAGTTACACACTAATTTGGAGATCAGGAAGGACTTAATGCAATTAAGATTTTACCCACTTTGAAGCCTATTTTAGGCCAATTTCAGTGCTTAACCCTTTGACTGTCACAGGCCCCTTTCTGAAACTTTCATTCTATGTCGATAAATTTTTGAAAAAAAAAAAAAAATTATTTTTTCTTATGAAATGATAGAGAATCTTTTTCCGATGGTAATGACACCAAAAGTTCGAAATTTGGTCGAAAACTCACGGAATTACGCTCCTGCGAAGTTAGCGGTCTCGGCGACATATGCGTATCGGCGATTTCGCCGACTTTGAGCCCTGTTTTCAGCCAATTCCGTTGTTCCAGTTGACCAAACTCATAGCTATTTCTTTACAACTCCATTTTATATATCAGCTGAGTATAAGAAACCGCCCATTTACCAATTTGAACTACCCAATATAGTGGTCAGAAATTGGCAATTTGGCCAATTTCATACAAATTAATAAAGATGCCAATTTCAAAATAGGGTCCAGAATAAACAAGGTAGACATTCTTGGCACTAAAATAACATATCCTCTGTTCATTAGTCACATCTCTAGGCCCCTCTTATATTATTATTGCTTTCTATTTTGATTTTTGATTTATACAAAAAAATACAAAATTTACTGTTATGCAGACTACTGCATTATTGTAAAAATGGTATAAATAATATCAGTGCACTAGTGAAAGAATATTAGACTCCCCTGTTGACGTGTATTGGACATGTAGTGTGATTTGTTTACTCTTGAACATTGGTAAAAATCGAACATTTCCGCTACTTTGAGCTCAGTTTCAAGGTCGTTTTCATCGTCAAAGTAATGAAAATCATCTCTATTTCTGTAATATGTTTTCCATTTTATCACCTAAGACCATGAAAATGCGAATACAACGATAAATACTATACGAAAATACACCTCAAAGTCGGCGTTTTAATCCAAAAAAAGTATTTTTTTTTTATTACGCACTGTGTGCTGCAGGATTTTTTTTATGTGGTGCACACTGACCACACAGACCCATTCTCTCACATGTGGGCCTAGCAGCTTTCTCCCGCTTGATTTGAAGCCACTAGAATTATTGAGTATATATATACATCAGAAACAGTGGTGCGTAAGACGTATTTATACAGCGTAAACAGTCAAAGGGTTAAACTGACCCACTTCACAACTGTTTCACTAATTGTTCTGTCATACCCAGTGACTGCTAGACACTGCCCCTTCAATACTCGGAACTCTTATTAAGCACCCAGTAGTCGGTAATTTATCCAATTGCATACTATTCTGAACAAATTTCTATTTGTAGAATCCAAAACAAATACTGTAGGCATCTTAGCTAATAAAAGAACCTTACCTCTGTCCATTAATCATGTCCTCAGGCCTCTCCTAATTATTACCTATCATCTTTGGATCCATTGTCACACACACAATTTCTTTACTGATAAACCATAACCAAGAATGTTTGGTCATATTTTAGGCCATCCCATTAACTGAATTAAATTAAACTTAGTAAAAATCCATAAAACATATTGGGGTAAGGGGAACCTACCTTATCTAAGGAAATTTGACATAAAATGACCATTTTTGCCAATTTGACACCTATTTCTGGCCACTTCTGGTCTTGAACCAATCAGTCTCCATTTCACTAGCGTGTTTTCTAATCTACCTATTTGTAGCAAGAAACATAAAAAAAGCATAAAACCAGGATGCTAAATGCCTGAAATCCTCTAATTTTAATCAAAAAGCAGGGTCAATGGTTAGTTCCCATTATGCATGGCATGGCATAGGATTCTTTTGCATACTGCACTCACCACACACTCATTCTTTCATGTGTTGGCAAATTACACCCATTCTTTCATATGTTGGCCAAAATTTGCTCCACACAAATGTGAGGGTGCTATGAGTTATGCACATACATGTACTTACTACACTGACACTGATCCTATCAACATAGCTCCATGTGACAAACAGTTTAAGGATTAAGTCACTCTTCCATATACTGTATACAGTAGTAACATACACAGTTCTGGTTAAATTACTACCGAATTTCTACTCTTCTTTAAAACTTGAGGATGATGGGGAGTGGGGTTTTAGTGTGACCAGTGTGTATCTGCTGGATCAGACATACACATTGGCTTGGACCTGGAGTTGTTAAACGATTCCTAATGAATTTTGCTCCCATTGCTAATTAAGTTCCACTGTATACTGTTAGCATTAGTCAGTTGTATTATTAGTGTAAAAGCAGTCATGTTATTTATTTTGGAGGAATTAATTTCTTCTCTATATATAACTTTTTATTTTCCATTTTTATAACTTTTAAATAAAAAATTATTTATCAGGATTTTATTAACAATTGGAAATGGTGTTGTTTATAGATACCAGCTAATTAATGTAATTATAAGCCTTAAGCACAATATTGCTATTAACCCTTTGACTGTCGCAGGCCCCTTTCTGAAACTGTCATTCTATGTCGCAAAATATTCGAAAAAAAAAATTATTATTTTTTCTTATGAAAATGTTAGGATTATTTTTCTGAGTGTTTTAAGCCTAAAAAAATTTTTTGCCATCAGTACTTACCAAGATATAGAGCCCCAAAGTTTGCAGAAAGTGAGGTGCGTATGGCAACAGCTGCGACTGCCGCCCACACGGTATTCTTTTATTTACTCTAATTCAAAATTTTCTTGCATTTTCCAATATTTTTCTTTTCCAAGTAACTTATGTGGCCTGTGAGACCAATGTAAGGTGCATTGTTCAAATATACACTCATTGTTTACAACACAATAACTGAACAAACATTATTGCTATTAGTTTGTGTATACACTTTGTTTACACAAACAATACAAAACAATGTTTATTACTATTGTTCCATAATATATATACATATGTACAGTCACTGAACACGTTCCTAGAACTGCTGCAGCTTGTGGAACTCTTTGAAACATGGGTATATGCAGAGTGGCAATTGACACTCCTCACACATAAAACGAGTGTCTCTGTGTGTTTGTGGGCATTTTGTGGTATGTGTACATACATAATACCTCTTCTGAGCATTTTTCTTGGCAGTAGTAGGAGGCAGTTGTATAGGGTAGTGATCACCAGGCCTGAAACGAGATGGCGTGTGTTGGTAATTTCGTGGGCGCTGGTCTATTGCAGGTGTTGCTCCTTGGTACTTTGCAATTATTTGTCTGATTACTGACAAACAAAATTCATCATATTTTGGTGTTTTGTTGGTCTTTAACTTGTGTATGTTATAAGCATTTAGCATGGAGATACATGTATCAACAAGATGGAAAAAGTTTTATATACCACTTATAACTCTTGCCTACACAATCTGCAAACCCAATCTGCATGTCACATTTGTCCACTAAGCGCATATTGAGGCTGTAGTCTATGACAGCTGCAGGCTTTAGAATGGGTTCATTGGTCTCTCTGTTGTGCCTGCCACTGTGTGCCATTTCGTTTGGGTGAACTGATGTCAACAATGTGACATCACGTTTGTCATGCCACCGAAATGGCATGATGTCATTGGCAGCAAAGGCTTGCACCTCACCTCTGCGAGTGCCAGCGTTGAACCTTGGCATATGTTTACGATTTCCACGCACTGTGCCACACACGTCTGTCAAGTTCACTCGCAAGAAATCACTAAGGGGCTTGTGTACCAGTTATCAGTAAATAACATATGCCCCTTACCAAAATATGGTTCCATCATTGTTCTAACCACATCACCAGAGATACCCAATAACTTCATGGTATCTCTCAAAGTTTTACTGCCAGTGTACACAATGATATCCAAAACTAGACCACTTCTGCAATCACACAGTACAAATAACTTTATACCAAAGCATTTCCTCTTGCTTGGTATATATTGCTTGAATGAGAGTCTTCCTTTGAATAAAATCAAGGACTCGTCAATAACAAGCTTCCTGAGGGGATTAAAATACATGCAGCACTTTTGTTTCATGTACATAAACACATTTCTGATCTTATATAACCTGTCGGTTCTGTCAGGCCTGGTCTTGTCTGAAAAGTGTAACATATGTAACAGTATCAGGAAATGATTGACACCTATAATGTCACTAAAACGTGGAGTTGAAATCAGACACTCTGTTGCCCAGTATGTGGTGACAGTGTGCTTATACACATGTGGCATAAGCATTATTGTGGCAAAAAACAGGTACATCTCTGCCACAGTTGTCTCCTTCCACTGGTGTAGCTGTGATCTTGGTGAGAGAATTGTATTTGCCATGGTGTATTCATAGTATGTGTTGGTTTCCCTGACAATGATGTCCATCAGGGGTTCATCGAAGAATAACTCAAAGCATTCCAGTTCACTAGCATTGTTCCCAAGTGGACGTGATGGCTTTATTCCACTTTGTGTTTCATCAAAGTCATGGGGACTGGGAACAAACTCGTCACCTTCCTGCCAATCCCAGATGCAGTCTGCTGGTGGGTTCTGGATATTTGTAATGTGGTTGTAGTTGTGCAGGTTGTGGTTGTGCAGGTTGTGGTTGTGCAGGTTGTGGTTGTGTAGGTTGTGGTTGTGTAGGTTGTGGAAGTGTGGGGTCGGGTGAGGCTGGTTGTTGTTGTGCAGAGTCAGCAGCGTGGGTAGTAGCGTGGCCTGCTGCTGGTGCCACATGGGTCGTGCCACCATCACTATCACCACCACTGCCTGTTCCCTCACTCACATCATTCATACCCATTGTAACAATATCGTCATCTTCACTATCAGGTCGTGGTGTAGGGCCACGGGATGTGCTCCCAGAGTTTCTCCTTCCCCTTGGAACAGCATATGAAACACTACCAGACTGCATGCTATGTCGTACATACTGCCGCTTCACTGGGGAATATTCACCCTCAATGTCACAACTAGAACTGCTTTCAATGACCTTGAAATCACTATCACTATCATATTCACTGCTAACATCTGGGTATTGTACACGACCAAATAGTTTCCTCTTTCATCCTGGTACAGGTGAATGTGAACGTGAACAAGCCAGCCCAGCACCAGAGGTGGAAGGTTGTGGGTTATCTGGCTTTTCATCACTAATTACGTTATCCTGGGCACTTTTTTGGTCACACTCACTTGAAAACCCTGGAATTCACTGTCACTGACATTTTCATCGTTGTTAGAACAAAAGACCTCCAATCCGCCGAGGAGTGAGGAGCTTCTTACCGCGAGGCATGGTGAAAATGGACTACCAAGATGGCATTCCCGCAATGCACCGCTGAGTCTCAGATTTTTTTCACAGGGTGCACACCGACCGACCACTGAAACGCATTCTCTCTCATGTAGGCCTACCAGGCCTTTCCTGCTTGATTTGAAACCGTTAGAATTTATGCGTATAAATACGTCAGAAACAGTGGCGTGTAAGACGTATTTATGTGGCACAAACAGTCAGAGGGTTAAAAACACTAATTTTAGAGTGACTCAAGACAGGTTTGGTAGGATTAAGCTAAATAATGTTAAGTTAATTTTACCAAGGTTATATGAGGGTGTTACCCTTTCACTGTTGGTGCCGTATACTTTTGATATATACCTTCGAAGAGTTTCGAAAGTTTGTCTACTCCCTGAGCCTGGCCATGAGCCAGCCTCATCTGGTGCATGCCTGGTCAACCAGGCTGTTGCTGCTGGTGGCCCACTTCCCACATATCCATCACAGCCTGGTTGATCTGACACCTGGTGAAGACACTTGTCTAGTTTTCTCTTGAAGGCTTCTACACTTGTTCCAGCTGTGTTTCTGATGCCTTCTGGTAAGATGTTGAATAGTCTGGGACCCCGGATGTTGATACAGTGTTCCCTTTTTGTCCCCACTGCACCCCTGCTCCTCACTGGGTTAATTTTGCACTTCCTCCCATATCTCTCACTCCAGTGTACAGTGGCAGTGTACAGAGTTGGGACCAGGCCCTCGAGTACTTTCCAGGTATATACAGTGGTCCCTCGAAAATTGTCAGGCTCGATAGTTGTCCTTTTCGGAAATTGTCGCATTATTTTCGTCCAAACATTGGCTTGCAAATGGTCGGTTGACTCGCTAATCGTCGTTCATCCTGGACGCATACTCACGGCTCTGAGCCGCCTCGGCCTCCCTTCCCAGCCAGTGTGCCATTGTTTACCAGTGAGCAACGGTCCCCTCACTTGTTCATACGAAATATTTCATAATATTCCATTCATTTTAGTGCTTGCAAGTACTAAATAAGCTACCATGGCTCCAAAGAAAGCTCCTAGTGCCAAGCCTTTGGTAAAGAAGGTGAGAAATACAACTGAATTTAAGAAAAACATCATTGAACAATATGAAAGTGGCATACGTGTGGCCAAACTGGCCAGGATGTATAACAAATCCCATACAACCATATCTTCCATCATGGCCAAGAAAAAGGAAATCAAGAAAGCTGTTGTTGCAAAGGGGGTAAATATGCTGACAAAAATGAGATCACCAGTACTTGAAGATGTTGAGAAGTTATTACAGGTCCTCCATCACAAATCCGACATCATTGGGACCTATAGTGTGCCGGATTACTGAGTTTGCCAAATTACAGAGTGGTTAAGTTAGAATACACTTAATAAAATTAACCAACCTGACTTACACAGTTCACTGAACATCGGCAAAAATCGAACATTTCCGCTACTTTGAGCTCAATTTCAAGGTACTTTTCGTCATGAAAGCAATCAAAATCATGTCTATTTCTGTAATATATCTTCCATTATATCAAATGAGTCCAAAAAATGACAATACAACCAAAAAAAAAACACACGAAAATATACTGCAAAGAGGCGGCTAATGGCTGAGAAGTGAACTCCCTTATTTACCGTCCGTCATTTTTATTTTTGTTGTACATTAAGAAGCATCTTTCCATCATACACTGCCCAAGTTTCAATGAGATAGCCCAACAAACAACGGAGAAAAAAAATATTTACCAAAAATCATATATGGCAAGCCCAAGCCAGGTACTGGAAATAAGTCACTTTGTCTGACTTTTCTGGGTTATCCTAGGTTCTCTATACATACACTGCTATGTATGATAATCTATGTAACTGTATTTGTGTATAGCTGAATAAACTTATTTACTTCTAGTCTGTCAACTGAGTACAAGAAACTGCCCATTCACTTATTTCAACTACTCAATAAAGTGGTCAGAAATTGGCAATTTGGCCGATTTCACACAAATTTCAACAGATGCCAATTTCAAAATAGGGTCCAGAATAAACAATGCAGACATTACTGGCACTAAAATAACATTTTCTCTGTTCATTAGTCACAGCTACAGGCCACTCTTATATTACTCTTGCTTACCATTTGGAATTTTTATTCACAAAAAAAAAAAAAATACTTACTGTTATGCAGACTACTGCATTATTGTAATAATTGTATAAACAATGTCAATCCATTCTTGACTCTGTACTGGAATTTGGACTGGCAGGTGGACAGGTATTGGACGGTGATGTCATTTGTTTATTCTTGAGCTTCGCTAAAGAATAGAACATTTTCACTACTGTGAGCGCAATTTCAAGGTACTTTTCATCACGAAAGCAATCAAAATTATATCTATTTCTGTAATATATCTTTCATTCTATCAAATGAGACCGAAAAAATGAGAATATAACCATAACAACCATACAAAAATATACCGCTAAGCGGCCGCTAATGGCTGAGAAGTGAACTCCGCTATTTATGGTCTGATTTCTTTCATTTTTGGTGTACGTGAAGAAGTATCTATCCATCATACATTGCCCAAGTTTGAATAAGATAACAAAACAAACAAATGAGAAAATAATAATAATAATATAATAATAATAATAATAATAATAATAATATCTTTATTTACTACACGTACATGTACAAGGTATACAGGCCTAGCTGACATCAGTAAGTAAGTAAGTTTATTCAGGTACACACAAATACAGTTACGTAGAATTATCATACATAGCAGCATATGTGTAGAGAACCTAGGATAACCCAAAAAAGTCAGACAGAGTGACTTATTTCCATTGGGGTCCTGTTACCTTATTATTATAATATAATAAGGTCAAAGACCTGGGAGTGATCATGTCGGAGGATCTCGCCTTCAAGGACCATAACATTGTATCAATCGCATCTGCTAGAAAAATGACAGGATGGATAATGAGAACCTTCAAAACTAGGGAGGCCAAGCCCATGATGACACTCTTCAGATCACTTGTTCTATCTAGGCTGGAATATTGCTGCACACTAACAGCACCTTTCAAGGCAGGTGAAATTGCTGACCTAGAAAATGTACAGAGAACCTTCACGGCATGCATAACGGAGATGAAACACCTCAATTACTGGGAGCGCTTGAGGTTCCTAAACCTGTATTCCCTGGAACGCAGGCAGGAGAGATACATGATTATATACACCTGGAAAATCCTAGAGGGACTAGTACCGAACTTGCAAACGAAAATCACTCACTACGAAAGCAAAAGACTTGGCAGACGATGCAACATCCCCCCAATGAAAAGCAGGGGTGTCACTAGCACGTTAAGAGACCATACAATAAGTGTCAGGGGCCCGAGACTGTTCAACTGCCTCCCAGCATACATAAGGGGGATTACCAACAGACCCCTGGCAGTCTTCAAGCTGGCACTGGACAAGCACCTAAAGTCGGTTCCTGACCAGCCGGGCTGTGGCTCGTACGTTGGTTTCCGTGCAGCCAGCAGTAACAGCCTGGTTGATCAGGCTCTGATCCACCAGGAGGCCTGGTCACAGACCGGGCCGTGGGGGCGTTGACCCCCAGAACTCTCTCCAGGTAAACTCCAGGTATAATGAAGATAACATCTTATTATCATACTAAAAAGACTATCTACTACACGAGGGTCATTAAGACTATCTACAATACGAGGGTCACTACAATACGAGTGACATACTACTGTATAGAAAGGCACTTGTTATGCTGAGTATTTCAAGAAAATTAGGTCAGTGTCCCAGGATAACACCCACACTAGTCGACTAACACCCAGGTACCCATTTACTGATGGGTAAACATAGACAACAGGTGTAAAGAAACACGCCTAATGTTTCTACCCTGGCTGGGAATCGAATATTTATCAAAAATCATATATGGCTAATCCAAGCCAGGTACTAAAAATAAGCCACATTGACTTTTTTCGGGTTATCCTAGGTTCTCTACACATATGCTGCTATGTGTGATAATCTATAGAGAGAAAATAACTTTTTTGTTTCATGTTTATGGTGGAGTATGAGTGTATATCATAGCCCTGTGCTATACTCCGTTTTCTCTAATATAAGCCACCAAGACAGGGACAGGAGAATGGTATTTGTTTACCATATCCTCTTCATAACTCTGTCGAACTGCTCGGTGTTATGCCAAATATTATTCATTCTGGAATATTTAACATGTTTTATGTCATTTATATTGTTTCTTATGTCATATTAGATCAATTGTGATAGGCAAATAAGCTGTAGTGTTGATATTAGCGTAATAATAAAGCATATTCTCCTGCTTCATGAGACTTATCTCATGGCAACCGACAGTGGCTTCAAAGCCACCTTATCTTTAATGGATAATGTATTGTGTAGGTGCTTTACATAATGAGAAGCATTTCTTTTATTCATTGGAACCATGGCTAGGGCTAAAAGTAAGCAGGTTAAAACAATAAATGAAGAAAAAGAAATTGGAATGACTTATGCAGCAAGTAGCGCCACCAAACAGTACCAGCAGGTTGGTGTGGCGACCATGGAAATTTGGAATTATGCTAGCCAAAATTAGTGCTGAATAACTGAAGGAACCAAATAACTGATTGCCGGATTTGTGATGGCGGACATGTATTGGTGTGGATAAACGAGAAATAATTAGCAGGAGATAGTCTTATGACGTCGATTATTTGTGAAAAGGCTAGGCAGTTGCATGATGATCTGGTAAAGAAATTGCCTGCAACGAGTACTAATATTTGTGAATTTAAGGTCAGCAAAGGTTGGTTTGAGATTTTTAAGAACCGTAGTGGCATACACAGTGTGATAAGGCATGGTGAGGCTGCTAGTTTGGACAAAATTCATAAGTGAATTCAAGGAGTACAGAGGCTGAAGGACTGAAACCTGAACAAGTGTTCAATTGTGACGAAACAGGCCTCTTTTGGAAGAAAATGCCAAAGAGGACCTACATTACTCAGGAGGAAAAGGGACTGCCAGGACACAAGCCTATGAAAGACAGGCTGACGCTCACGTTCTGTGCTAATGCTAGTGGGAATTTCAAAGTGAAGTCGTTACTAGTGTACCATTCTGAAAATACCAGTGTGTTCAGGAAAAACAATGTTATGAATAGTAAATTGTGTGTGTTTTGGAGATCTAATAATAAGGCATGGGTCACGAGGGAAATTTTCGTCGAGTGGTTTAATGAAGCGTTTGGCCTTAGTGTGAAGAATTACCTCCTGGAAAAGAAATTGGATCTCAAGTGCCTCCTAGTAATGGACAATGCACCTGCTCATCCTCCAAACTTGGATGACCTAATTCTGCAGGAGTTTGGGTTCATCACAGTAAAGTTCTTGCCCCTGAATACCACTCCTCTCCTCCAGCCCATGGACCAGCAGGTCATTTCAAACTTTAAAAAACTCTACACCAAAGCAATGTTTCAAAGGTGCTTTAATGTGACCTCAGACACTCACTTGACCCTAAGAGATTTTTGGAAAGAACACTTCAGTATTCTCCATTGCATAAGCCTTATAGGTAAGGCTTGGGAGGGAGTGACTACCAGAACTTTGAACTCTGCTTGGAGAAAATTGTGGCCAGATTGTGTCCACAAGAGGGATTTTGAAGGGTTTGTGGCTGAACCCTGATGAGCCTATGTCTGTTGTGAACTCTATTGTGGCATTGGGGAGTTCCATGGGGTTGGATGTGAGTTTGGAGGATGTGGAAGAGTTGATGGAGAACCACAACGAAGAGCTAACCACTGAGGAGCTGCAAGAGCTTCAGCAGGAACAGCAACAGATTGCAGCTCAGAATCTTGCTGCAGAGGAGGAAGAGTGATGGAAGAAGGTGCCTTCTTCAGAAACTAAGGAGATTTTTGAAATGTGGGGTAGGATGGAAAGATTTATGGAGAAACATCACCCTGAGAAGGATGTTGCAAGCCATATCGGCAACTTGCACAGTGACAGAGTCTTGACCCATTTTAAGGAAGTTTTAAAGAGACACCTGAAACAGAGCTCTCTGGACACTTTTTTTATGCGAGACAGGACTCCAGTGACTCTCAAGCTGGTCCTAGTGGCATTAACCCTTTCAGGGTCGACAGGCCCTCTCAGAGACTTGTTCTCAGGGTCGACCAAATTTAAAAAAAAAAAAGAAAATTATTTTCTCTTATGAAAAGATAGAGAATCATTTCCTGATCATAATGACACCAAAAGTATGAAATTTGATGGAAAACTTACGGAATTATGCTCTTGCGAAGTTAGCGGTCTCAACGATGTTTATGCATCGGTGATTTTGCCCACTTTGAGCCCTATTTTTCCGCCAATTCCAGTGTACTTGTCGACAAAAATCATAACTACAGTGGAACCTCAAACATCGAACTTTCTTCGGTCCAGAAGGCTGTTCGAGTGCCTTTACCGAATGAATTTATTCCCATCAGGAATAATGTAAATTAGATTAGTCCATTTCAGACCCTCAAAAATACACTTATAAAAGCACTTACAAAAATACACTTACATAATTGGTCGTGTTGGGAGCAGTTCAATTTTTGAGGTTCCACTGTATTTCACTAGAACTCCATTTTTTCTATCGAATGAGTACAAGAAACAACCCATTTACCGATTTCAACTATCCAATACAGTGGTCAGAATTTAGCAATTTTGCCAATTTCACACAAATTTCAAAAGATGCCAATTTCCGAATAGGGTTCAGAATAAACAAGAAAGACATTCCTGGCACTAAAATAACATTTCCTCTGTTCATTAGTCACGTCCCCATGCCCCTCTTACATTCATTTGCTTTCCACTTTGAATTTTTATTTTCACAAAAAAATAGAAGATTTACTGTTATGCAGACTACTGCATTGGTGTAGAAATGGTATAAATAATATCAGTGCACTTGTGAAAGAATATTAGACTCACCAGCTGATGTGTATTGAAAGCATAGCATGATTTATTTACTTTTGAACTTTGGTAAAAATCGAACATTTCTGCTACTTTGAGCTCAATTTCAAGGTACTTTTCTTTGTAAAACCAGTCAAAATCATCTCAATTTCTGTAATATGTCTTCCATTCTATAAAATGAGACCAGGAAAACTAAAATACAACAATAAATACCATACGAAAATACAGTGCAAAGTCGCTGTTTTAATCCAAAAACACGATCAAAGTTTTTTTTTTCTCATTACGCACTGTGTGCTGCAGGATTTTTTTATACCACGCACACTGACCACATAGACCCATTCTTTCATATGTAGGCCTACCAGCTTTCTCTCACTAGATTTGAGGGCGCTAGAATTTAGGCGTTCTAGTATGTCAAAAACAGAGAAGAGAAGTATGTAACCCCAGAAAAGGACTTGGTACCTGAGGTGTTGATGGAAGGGGATTCCCCTTCCAAATAGTAACAACTAATCCAATCTCTCTCCTCCTCCAGTCTTCCATACACTAAGAAGAATCGCCAATAAAGGTAAGTGTTATGCTGTTAATGTTTCATTCATCATGTCCCATTGTATTGTTTATGTACTACATCTATATTTCATGTAAAAAAATTTTTTGTTTTAATACTTCTGGGTGTCAGGAACGGATTAATTGTATTTACATTATTTCTTATGGGGAAAATTTATTCGAAAATCGTCTATTTCAATAATCGTGGCACTTCCAGGAATGGATTAACGATGATAAACGAGGAACCACTGTATTTGTACTAATGTCAGTTACATAGTTGGTCTGCGTGGCCTTCTTCTGGAGTGAAAAATATTTCTGCATTTTCTACCTTGCTATCATTTAGTGGGTTGCTGAACACTGACTCATACTGTTCTTTAAGGATTTCCCTCATTTCCTGTTCGTCTTCAGTATACGAGTCTCCTCTCAGTAGTGGTCCAATTCTATAGTTCGTTCTTAGCTTGGATTTTGCATAGGAATAGAAATACTTTGGGTTTCTTGCAATCTCCTGTATGACCCTTTGTTTCCTTTGTACAGTGGACCCCCGGTTAACGAACTTTTTCATTCCAGTAGTATGTTCAGGTGCCAGTACTGACCGAATTTTTTCCCATAAGGAATATTGTGAAGTAGATTAGTCCATTTCAGACCTCCAAACATACACGTACAAACGCACTTACATAAATACACTTACATAATTGGTCGCATTTGGAGGTGATCGTTAAGCGGGGGTCCACTGTACTTCTCCTGTTAGGTATGACATCCCGAGTTTTTGCTCTAGTTCAGTGATCTCTTGTCTAAGTCTGTCTTTCCTCTGCTGAAGCATATTTGTGTTTTTCAGCAATTCAGTAACCCATTTTCTTCTGTACCAACTCCTATGCTCTCTCTCTATATCTGATCTTCTTCCGGGTTTCCTCAATGGTACGTGCTTCATGCATACCTTGTATGCTTCTCTATTCATCTTCTCTAGGCACTGGTGGGGATTTAGGGTGCTCATGTCTGCTTCCCAGGATATGTCTGATAGCTCTTGGTTTATTTTTCCCAGTCAATTCTATGGTTGTTAAAATTAAACTTACTGAGCATCCCATCTCTAACATTAGTGACGCAGTTCCCTAACCCTAAGTTAATACTCGTTTGAACTTCTATGATGTTGTGATCAGAGTACAGTGGACCCTCGACCAATGATGGCATCGTCTAACGTTAAATCCGACTAACGATACATGTTAACGCTAACATGTTGCCTCGACTAACGCTAAAAAAACTCGACTAACGATATTCGTACTCGGGTACCAATTAACATCGTTAGTCGAGGGTCCACTGTATACTGTCTTTGTAACTGTTATGTCTCTGATTAGTTCCTTGTTTGTGAATATCAAATCCAGGATATTTTAATTTATAGTGGGATCAGTTATCTGTTGGTTTAATGAGTACATTTCACAAAGCCTCATTAGATCTCTGGTATGTGCCTGTTGAGCCAGGGTGCTTCCTGGAGATATTTCTGGTATAATGTTGTGTTACACCATCTTCCATTTTACATGAGGGAGATTAAAATCTCCAAGGAGTAAAATATTTGGTGTGGGATTTTCTACCTTATCCACATAACTATCTATCTTCCTTAGCTGCTCTGTGAATTCCTCAGCAGTTGATGATGGTGGTTTATATACTAGGATAATTATCAAATTCATATTTTCAACTTTAATGCCGAGGATTTCTATTACTAGTATATCATTCACAGAGTTCAGCACTTCTGTGCAACAGAAAGCATGCTTTACATAGATTCCTACTCTTCCCTGTGACCTGTTAATCCTATCACATCTATACATGTTATAGTTTTCTATCTTTATCTCTCCGTCCAAAACATCCCTTGTATGTGTTTCTGTAAATGTTCGAAACATGGCATTCACTTCTGATAGGAGCCCGCTGACATAACTAGCTTTGTCGTTTTTAATTTCAAACCCTGAATATTTGCAAATATGAAGCAGGAATTACCATTTGGGATGTTTTGTCTTGCTTTGTGCTTCGTTAGTACCACTGGTTATGTACAACCTGGTATGGCCACTGGTGTACAAACCCCTGGGCTCTCCAGTACTGAATTTGCATTTGGTTGCTTATTCAGCCCTGATTGGCTGATGCCTGGTGTGGTACTCCCCATTTTGCTGCCCATCTGTCCTCTCTGCTAACTCTGTAGCATAGCATTCCTTTTATATGGTGGTCTGGGCAGCTCAGGTCATAATATTCTCTGGACTGTGCTGAAGCTTTACACATTACTGGATGGAAGTACATGCTGCACTCTTTGTTGAAATGACGCTTTTCCTTCCTCAACATGTTGGCACATTTTCTGGTGTGTTTATTCCAGCAATCTCTGCCATATAGGCACATACCTTTTGCATAGTATCTGCAAATGTTTTGACTACCTATATTTACTGTTTTGTGTCTTTCCCAAGTTCTGCCACCTGATCTGAGTTCTCTTAGTTCTCTTTCACCTAGGTGCATTTCTTCCCTTTTTTCATGTTTGTTTGTTCCTGCTCTAGCTTTCTCTTCCTCCCTTTCCCTTTCCACTATGTTATGTACCCATGTTCCGTTCTTTTCTGACTTGTTCTATATGACGTTTTCCACTTTTAATTCCACTACTTGGCTTTCATCTTTATCTGTGCTTTCCTCCTTTTCTGGTTCCTTATCCCCTGATTTCCATTCTTTGTATATATCTGGCAAGCTCCTTAGGAACTTTCTTACACTTTCTAGGTTTTTACTTTTCAATACCTCTCTTATGCCCGCCCAGCTTTCCACCTCACTGAGGCAAATACAGAAACAACTTTCTTGTTTTTGGTCATTTCTCATGGTTGCATGAAGCTTTGTACATGATATATGGGATGTTTCTCCACATAATATTTCACAAGCAATGCCTCTAATATTTCTCCCAAAATTTTTTTCACATATACAATAGACTGTATTTCTATCCATTTTCACTTCCTGGGCACGTGGATGTGGTGGGTGGTGGGTTGCTATGGGTGGACTGGGAGGTGAGGATCCGTGGAATGAAGGCAGGAAGGAGTTCGAGAGGGGGGGCTGTGTGGTGGGGGTCATGGAAAGAGGGTGGGGGTGTGAGGAGGTGGACTGGGAGATGGGGTGTGGCATGGGGCTCAACAACAATTAACCATCTCAGACCACTAATTACCCAACAAAAGGCTGCAGTCAGAATGATAACAAATTCCCAATACAGGCAGCACACTCCACCAATATTCAAAACACTAAACCTACTCACCATACAAAACATCCATACTTATTACTGCACCTATTATATACATAGAACACTTAACTCTGATATTAACCCTCCCCTCAAACATCTCCTTGCCAACCTCAACAGAACACATGACCATAACACAAGGCACAGATCACTCTTTGATGTTCCTCGTGTCCATCTCACGCTATGCAAAAACTCAATGCAAATAAAAGGCCCTAAAATCTGGAATTCATTACCTGAAAATATAAAAGAAACACTACATGTTTATAAATTCAAGTCTCTTCTCAAAGATCACTTACTCACCCAAAACCAAATAAATACTGAATAACTGAATCTTATAAATTATATATCTTAAATGTTTCTCACAATTATATCACATAAATATTAAACCTAAGACCCAATCTAACTTTGTTATTTTTTAAATACACTACCTAACAGAATACTCCATTCTACTGAATGTACAGCAATGCATGCAACCATATGACCTGCCTTTGTAATACTCATTTGTGCTTTATTGTTATCTGTTTACAATAATGTTTTATCATTGATTACATCATTGCTTAGTTAATCTTAAGTTAATTTTAAGCCTGCCCATAATGCTATGCATACAAGTGGCTTTGGCATGCTGCTCTTACCTGTATTTTTTGTACCTCTGTATGTATGTTCAAATTATTAAATAAATAAATAAATAAATGGGAAGTGGGAGGCAGTGGAAAGATGGTAGGAGTGCGAGGAGGTGGACTGGGAGGTGAGGTGGACTGGGAGGTGGGGTGGTGGGTGGAGGGCTGGCCCTGGAAAGAGGATAGTGCTGTGCATGGCACTTGTGCAGAAAGTTCCCATATAATTACACCATAGATTGTACACTGTCACTCGGGATTAATTAAAATTACTCTTATCCACAATTTCAGTTCACTATATCACTGTCCATTAATATCCTTTTCCTTTGTTATATAACTTATACAATACAGTGGACCCTCGACCAACGATATTAATCCGTTCCTGAGAGCTCATTGTTAGTCGAAATTATCGTTAGTCAAGTTAATTTTCCCCATAAGAAATAATGGAAATCAAATTAATCCGTTCCTGACACCCCAAAGTATGAATAAAAAAATTTTTACCACATGAAATATTAATTTTAATACACACAAACTGAAGAAGATATGTACAATTACATGACACTTACCTTTACTGAAGATCTGGTGATGATTGATGGGATGGAAGGAGGGGTGTGTGTGGATGGTGTTAGTGTTTAGAAGGGGAATCCACTTCCATTAGGACTTGAGGTAGCAAGTCCTTTTCTGGGGTTACTTCCCTTCTTCTTTTAATGCCACTAGGACCAGCTTGAGAGTCACTGGACCTCTGTCGCACAACATATCTGTACATAGAGGCTTGTACCTCCCGTTCCTTTATGACATTCCTAGTGTTTCACAACATTGTCAGTGTAATAGTCACCAGCACGGCTTGCAATTGCTGTGTGAGGGTGATTTTCATCAAAAAAGGTTTGCACTTTATGCCACATTGCACACATTTCCTTAATCTTTGAAGTAGGCAACTTCCTCAATTTCTCTCTCCCCTCCTACGGAGCAGTTTCCTCAGGTCTGGCCTCTTGCTGTTCAAGATGATCTAGCAGCTCATCAGTGGTTAGTTGTTCATTGTTCTCCTCCACCAACTCTTCCACATCCTCCCCACTAACCTCCAACCCCAAGGACTTCCCCAATGCCACAATGGATTCCTCAACTGGCATATGCTTCTCAGGGTTAGCCTCAAATCTTTCAAAATCCCTATTGTCTACACATTCTGGCCACAGTTCCTCCCAAGCCTTACCTATAAGGTTTATACAATTGAGGATGCTAAAGTGATATCTCCAAAACTCTCTTAGAGTCAATTGAGTTTCCGAGGTCACTACAAAGCACCTTTCCAACATAGCTTTTGTGTAGAGTTTTTTGAAGTTTGCAATGACCTGCTGGTCCATGGGCTGCAGGAGAGGAGTGGTATTAGGAGGCAAAAACTTGACCTTAATGAAGCTCATGTCTGCAGAAAGTCGCTCTGCCACGTCTGAAGGATGACCAGGAGCATTGTCTAATACCAGGAGGCACTTAAGGTCCAATTTCTTTTCAGTTAGGTAACTTTTCACAGTGGGGGCAAATGCATGGTGTAACGAGTCATAGAAAAAGTCCCTAGTGACCTATGCCTTACTGTTTGCCCTCCACAGCACACACAAATTAGCCTTGAAGACATTGTTTTTCCTGAACACTCTGGGAGTTTCAGAGTGATACACCAATAAAGGCTTCACTTTGCAATCACCACTAGCATTGGCACACATCAACAGAGTAAGCCTGTCTTTCATAGGCTTATGTCCTGGGAGTGCCTTTTCCTCCTGAGTAATGTAGGTCCAGCTTGGCATTTTCTTCCAAAACAGGCCTGTTTCGTCACAATTAAACACTTGTTCAGGTTTCAATCCTTCAGCCTCTATGTACTCCTTGAATTCCTGCACATATTTTTCAGCAGATTTTTGGTCCGAACTGGCAGCCTCACCATGCCTTATCACACTATGTATGCCACTACGATTCTTAAATCTCTCAAACCAACCTTTGCTGGCCTTAAATTCACTCACACCACCACTAGTTGCAGGCATTTTTATAATTAAATCGTCATGCAACTTCCTAGCCTTTTCACATATGATTGCTATCTCCTGCTATCTGTTTCTCATTTATCCACACCAATAACAGTCTCTCAACATCTTCTAACACTTGCGATCTCAGTTTTGAAAACATAGTTGCACCTTTGGTGAGAACAGCTTCCTTGATTGCCGTTTTCTTGGCCACAATAGTAGCGATGGTTGATTGGGGTTTATTATACAACCTGGCGAGGTCGGAGACACGCACTTCACTTTCATACTTAGCAATGATCTCTTTCTTCATATCCAGAGTAATTCTCACCCTTTTTGCTGTAGGGTTGGCAATAGAAGCTTTCTTGGGGCCCATGGTGACTTATTTTGCAGGTGAAATCACTAAAAACGCTGTGATAATATGAAATGTTCCGATTGTATGTTTGGATGGGACCGCGGTGGCTGGCTGGCTTGTAAACACTGGCACCAACGGGACAAGTGAGGCGCGCTCAGGCCACAAGTGGACGCGTCTCGAACGGAACGAATCGCATTGGTCGAGTTTTTTAGTGCTAGTCGAGGCAAAATTTTTGCTTTAAAATGTATCGCTAGTCGGATTTAATGTTATACGATGCCATCGTTGGTTGAGGGTCCACTGTATTCCATATTCATCTGATTGTATATTTACATTTGTCTGCCGACCTCTGGCAATAAGTATTTGCTGGTGGTGTACGTCCCATGTATATATTCCATATATTATGCACTATGTATTGGGTATTTGACAAGATTGTTGTAATCCACAATTTAAGATCACTATATCACTGAACATCAGTACCTCGTCACTCACTATATTACGAATGACGAGATGAGAAATCCTTCCATTACTGTACAACACAATAACTGTGTGGAAACACCATAGGCCTAGTTCACAACCTGCACTCCTTCTAAACGTTTACTAATAATTATATTTTATATTTCCCTGTGGTTTTAATAATAGTCCTTTTTTGTTTCTTAGCTTTTCTGCTCTTTGAATTTATGCTAATCCCTGATATTTCTTATTTTCCCTCACTGATCTACGCTCACTGCTAAACACATTTCCTGCATGGCACCCTCCAATAACAGCCGTTATTCTGAGGCCTGGCATTACTGTATAGTCTATACTGGGGATTAATTTATATTACTCTTAGCTATGAATTTAGTTCGCTGTATCACTGTACATACATATCCTTATCACTGGCTATATTACTTATATCATTTATACGACAGTTCAAAATCTGTTTGGTTATTTTTCACTTTGTTGACACCTGGCACTAAGTCGCTAGTTAGGCCTATTTCCAATATATTCTAGGAATGGCACTCTCCACCTGGTACTATAATCCACATTTTTTTCCTTTCTGTGTTCGCTGATGTTTCCTTCATGTTTGTTTAAATGTGTATATGCATTTTATGGTTTCACACGCAAATTTTCCACAAACTGCCTCTCTGGGGCTAGCAAGGAACCGCAATTTTGATGGAGCTCAACAACTCCTGACTCCCCCCCCCCCAACCCCACTATATATATACAGTGGTATCCTGAGTTTCAAATTTACTTCATTCCAGAATGCTGTTTGAGTGCCAATACCGATTGAATTTGTTCCCATCAGGAATAATGTAAATTAGATTAGTCCGTTTCAGACCCCCAAAAATACACTTACAAACGCACTTACACAAATACACTTACATAATTGTTCGAGTTGGGAGCAGTTTGAAACTTGGGGTACCATTGTATAGTATATAGATATGCCTCATGGCGAAATGACAGTAGTTTGTTGGATTATGTATTGGTAGATAAAAGACTGTTGAGTAGACTTCAGGATGTACATGTTTATAGAGGGGCCACAGATATATCAGATCACTTTCTAGTTGTAGCTACACTGAGAGTAAAAGGTAGATGGGATACAAGGAGAATAGAAGCATCAGGGAAGAGAGAGGTGAAGGTTTATAAACTAAAAGAGGGGGCAGTTAGGGTAAGATATAAACAGCTATTGGAGGATAGATGGGCTAATGAGAGCATAGGCAATGGGGTCAAAGAGGTATGGGGTAGGTTTAAAAATGTAGTGTTAGAGTGTTCAGCAGAAGTTTGTGGTTACAGGAAAGTGGGTGCGGGAGGGAAGAGGAGCGATTGGTGGAATGATGATGTAAAGAGTGTAGTAAGGGAGAAAAAGTTAGCATATGAGAAGTTTTTACAAAGTAGGAGGGAAGAGTATATGGAGAAAAAGAGAGAGGTTAAGAGAGTGGTGAAGCAATGTAAAAAGAGAGCAAATGAGAGAGTGGGTGAGATGTTATCAACAAATTTTGTTGAAAATAAGAAAAAGTTTTGGATTGAGATTAACAAGTTAAGGAAGCCTAGAGAACAAATGGATTTGTCAGTTAAAAATAGGAGATGAGAGTTATTAAATGGAGAGTTAGAGGTATTGGGAAGATGGAGGGAATATTTTGAGGAATTGTTAAATGTTGTTGAAGATAGGGAGGCTGTGATTTCGTGTATAGGGCAAGGAGGAATAACATCTTGTAGGAGTGAGGAAGAGCCAGTTGTGAGTGTGGGGGAAGTTCGTGAGGCAGTAGGTAAAATGAAAGGGGGTAAGGCAGCCAGGATTGATGGGATAAAGATAGAAATGTTAAAAGCAGGTGGGGATATAGTTTTGGAGTGGTTGGTGCAATTATTTAATAAATGTATGAAGAGGGTAAGGTACCTAGGGATTGGCAGAGAGCATGCATAGTTCCTTTGTATAAAGGCAAAGGGGACAAAAGAGAGTGCAAAAATTATAGGGGGATAAGTCTGTTGAGTATACCTGGTAAAGTGTATGGTAGAGTTATTATTGAAAGAATTAAGAGTAAGACGGAGAATAGGATAGCAGATGAACAAGGAGGCTTTAGGAAAGGTAGAGGGTGTGTGGACCAGGTGTTTACAGTGAAACATATAAGTGAACAGTATTTAGATAAGGCTAAAGAGGTCTTTGTGGCATTTATGGATTTGGAAAAGGCGTATGACAGGGTGGATAGGGGGGCAATGTGGCAGATGTTGCAGGTGTATGGTGTAGGAGGTAGGTTACTGAAAGCAGTGAAGAGTTTTTACGAGGATAGTGAGGCTCAAGTTAGAGTATGTAGGAAAGAGGGAAATTATTTCCCAGTAAAAGTAGGCCTTAGACAAGGATGTGTGATGTCACCGTGGTTGTTTAATATATTTATAGATGAGGTCTTGGCAAGAGGCGTGGAGTTAAAAGATAAAGAATCACCCATAAAGTGGGAGTTGTCACAGTTGCTCTTTGCTGATGACACTGTGCTCTTGGGAGATTCTGAAGAGAAGTTGCAGAGATTGGTGGATGAATTTGGTAGGGTGTGCAAAAGAAGAAAATTAAAAGTGAATACAGGAAAGAGTAAGGTTATGAGGATAACAAAAAGATTAGGTGATGAAAGATTGGATATCAGATTGGAGGGAGAGAGTATGGAGGAGGTGAATGTATTCAGATATTTGGGAGTGCACGTGTCAGCGGATGTGTCTATGAAAGATGAGGTGAATCATAGAATTGATGAGGGGAAAAGGGTGAGTGGTGCACTTAGGAGTCTGTGGAGACAAAGAACTTCGTCCTTGGAGGCCAAGAGGGGAATGTATGAGAGTATAGTTTTACCAACGCTTTTATATGGGTGTGAAGCATGGGTGATGAATGTTGCAGTGAGGAGAAGGCTGGAGGCAGTGGAGATGTCATGTCTGAGGGCAATGTGTGGTGTGAATATAATGCAGAGAATTCGTAGTTTGGAAGTTAGGAGGAGGTGCGGGATTACCAAAACTGTTGTTCAGAGGGCTGAGGAAAGGTTGTTGAGGTGGTTCGGACATGTAGAGAGAATGGAGCGAAACAGAGTGACTTCAAGAGTGTATCAGTCTGTAGTGGAAGGAAGGCAAGGTAGGGGTCGGCCTAGGAAAGGTTGGAGGGAGGGGGTAAAGGAGGTTTTGTGTGCGAGGGGCTTGGACTTCCAGCAGGCATGCGTGAGCGTGTTTGATAGGAGTGAATGGAGACAAATGGTTTTTAATACTTGACGTGCTGCTGGAGTGTGAGCAAAGTAACATTTATGAAGGGGTTCAGGGAAACCGGCAGGCCGGACTTGAGTCCTGAAGATGGGAAGTACAGTGCCTGCACTCTGAAGGAGGGGTGTTAATGTTGCAGTTTAAAAACTGTAGTGTAAAGCACCCTTCTGGCAAGACAGTGATGGAGTGAATGATGGTGAAAGTTTTTCTTTTTCGGGCCACCCTGACTTGGTGGGAATCGGCCAGTGTGATAATAAATAAAATATTATGTATACCTGGAGAATACCTAGAAAGAGTTCCAGGGGTCAATGCCCCTGGGGCCCAGTCTGTGATCAGGCCTCATGGTGGATCAGGGCCTGATCAACCAGGCTGTTACTGCTGACTGCATGCAATCCAATGTACGAACCACAGCCCGGCTGGTCAGGTACTGACTTTAAGTGCCTGTCCAGTGCCTGCTTGAAGACAGCCAGGGGTCTATTTGTAATCCCCTTTATGTATGCTGCGAGGCAGTTGAACAGTCTTGGGCCCCTCACATTTATTGTGTTGTTTCTTATCGTGCTACTGGCACCCCTACTTCTCATCGCGGGGATGTTACATCGTCTGCCGAGTCTTTTGCTTTCGTAGGGAGTGATTTTCATGTGCAAGTTTGGTACTAATCCCTCTAGGATTTTCCAAGTGTATATAATTATGTATCTCTCCCACCTGCATTCCAGGGAGTACAGGTTGAGGAACTTCAAGCGTTCCTAGTAACTGAGGTGTTTTATCGCAGTTATGCATGCCATGAAGGTTCTTTGTACATTTTCTAGGTCAGCAACTTCACTTGCCTTGAAAGGTGCTGTTAGTGTGCAGCAATATTCCAGTCTAGATAGAACAAGTGACCTGAAGAGTGTCATCATGGGCTTGGCATCTCTGGTTTTGAAGGTTTTTATTATCCATCCTGTCATTTATCTAGCAGATGCGATTGATACAATGTTATGGTCCCTGAAAGTGAGATCCTCTGACATGATCACTCCTAGGTCATTGACATTAGTTTTTCGCTCTATTGTGTGGTTGGAATTTGTTTTATACTCCGATGAAGTTTTAATTTCTTCGTGTTTTCCATATCAGAGTAATTGAAATTTCTCATGGCGATGTATTAATAAGCCAAAATTCTAGCGACTTCAAAACTAGAGGGAGTAAGCTGGTACAGCTCCATTTGAGAGAATGGGTCTGTGTGGTCAGTGTGCGCATTATAAGAAAATCAGGGAGCCAGTGGTGCATTGTTGGAGTCCCATTTCAGTAGGCCTTGTTTACCATGCTTTGCGGTAATATATACCTCACTCCCTGGCAAACTGGGACTGTTCTCTTCCTAAGTGATAGTTCTAATACAGATGGAAGTGTCAGTGAAGATGAATTTTATGGTTTTGAGGAGTTTGTGCCCAAAAGCAATGCCCAGGATACCAGAAATAGTGCTGAAAACCTAAACGACCATCAACCTAAGATAACCCAAGAAAGTCAAACTGATTTATTTCCATATGGGTGGTGAGAAAGACAGTATGCTTGTTGGGGAAGACGGTATGGGTAATGGGTGGTGGTGGTGGTGGTGGTTTTGTAATGTGTCATTTGACACCAGCCATGCTGCTCTCAACACAACAACAACAAAGGCTGCCTTCAACCATCCACAGGACAGGAGGGTCAACGGAAACATAACAACATATAAAATACTGTGAAGAGTTGACAAGATGGACAAAGACAGGATGTTCCAGAGATGGGACACAGAAACAAGGAGTCACAATTGGAAGTTGAAGACTCCTATGAGTCAAAGGGACATCAGGAAGTATTTCTTTAGTCACAGAGTTGTCAGGAAGTGGAATAGCCTAAAAAGTGATGTAGTGGAGGCAGGAACCATACATAGTTTTAAAACAAGGTTTGATAAAGCTCATGGAGCAGAGGAAGGGAGAGGACCCAGTAGCAATCAGTGAAGAGGCAGGGCCAGGAGCTATAACTCAATCCCTGCAACAACAAATAGGCGAGTACAAATGGGTGAGTACACAAACAACCGTCCACAAGCTGTAGCAGCTATAGGAATGTGTCCAGTGACTCTATATGTGTATGTATATACAGTGGACCCCCGCATAACGATCACCTCCGAATGCGACCAATTATGTAAGTGTATTTATGTAAGTGCGTTTGTACGTGTATGTTTGGAGGTCTGAAATGGACTAATCTACTTCACAATATTCCTTATGGGAACAAATTCAGTCAGTACTGGCACCTGAACATACTTCTGGAGAGAAAAAATATCATTAACCGGGGGTCCACTGTACTATAGAACAATAGTAATAACTTTTTTTATTGTTGGTTTGTGTCAACAAGTTCTGTAAACACTATAATGATAACGTTTGTGCGGTTATTATGTTGCATACAAGTAGATATATATGCATTACACATTATATTGGTCTCACAGGTCACAAAAGTTACTTGAAAAAAATAAAATATTAAAAAATAAAAGTAAAAATAATATTAATGAATGAGCGGCAGTCGCCGATGTTGCCATAAGCAGTTCACTGTCAACTTCACGCCTTTATATCTTGGTAAGTAGTGATTGCAATTTTTTTTTCTTTTGAAACGCTCACTAAAATATTCTGAAGATTTTGGCAAGAAAAAAAATAATTATTTTTTTTCTTCAAATATTTTTCGACAGGGACTTCAGGATCAGAGGTCTCAACAGTGAAAGGGTTAATTTATTTTTGATGTAAAATAAAAAAATGCACACAATGTTAGTTCATAAAAATATATATTTCAATTTATAATGAAAAAATCTTGAAAACATCTATCTTTAAGGCAGTTTGTTGGCTTGTATGGCCAATTCTGCCTATAAAAGACTGCATAATAAGTACAGTGGACCCCCGCTTAACGATAACCTCCCAGTGCGACCAATTATGTAAGTGTATTTATGTAAGTGCGTTTGTACGTGTATGTTTGGGGGTCTGAAATGGACTAACCTACTTCACAATATTCCTTATGGGAACAAATTCGGTCAGTACTGGCACCTGAACATACTTCTGGAATGAAAAAATATCGTTAACCGGGGGTCCACTGTATTTGCATGTTATACCCTGTGATTTTCTTATATAGCATGGATGTTACAAAAGTCCCCTCACTCTTAAGATTTCATTTCTAACAGGCTCATCTTCTGGGTACTGTTGCTGTAGTTCTGAATTAGGTATATAGTGCGTGCCTGTGAACTCCTTAAAGTATTTGCCAATGTCTGCATGACTGACAGGTTTTGGATGTGATGCCACCTCTAAATTCTCTTGAGCTGCATACCTGAAAAAATATGAAAATCACTCTTAGGTTTTATATAAAGGTCTGAATGATCAGTTGTACTGCCATAGTTCATTCTCGTTGCAGAACATTCATAACTCAACAGTGTAGGCATTAAATACATAACCTCAGATGCTTACCTGTGTGAACCATCATAGACAAGAACATTATAAAAGGGCTGCTTGGTCTTGTAATGAAGATGATGTACACCCATTCGAAGCACCCATTGTGGTGGCATTTTGCACTCCTAAAATATTAACAAAGCATCACTAAAACTTTCATTTATTAAACAATTACAGTAGGGCCCCACTTTACAGCGTTTTCGCTAATATGGACATTTCAAATTATGGCCAAAACTTACTATACGGCTTCCCGTCCCCCCCCCGACTCTAATATGGTCAACGCGCACCACACGGTTTGTTTACATTCTCTGTGAGCCCCACGTCTCTCCTTTAAGTCTGTAAACTTCCCAAAATTTCAAGTGTTTTAAAGTTAGTGTATTTTATATGTACTGTACTCTGATAATTATACTTACGTGTATCTGTTCCTAAATAACTTACACACTGTACTGGTGTGCAGGTACACATTAAAATCACTGAGAGTGTCCCTCTACTCTTGACGCCATATTAGTAATAGTACGCAATAATAATAACTCTTGGGCACATTAAATGTCTTATTTTATGTTAATATAGACATTTTCATTAATCCGTCCATGATATTTTCTTCAAAATTATATAAGAAACACATTACATAGCATATCAAATTAATTAAATCAAATCAAAAGTTTACATATAAAATATTGGTTACAATGTGTGGTTTACATCTCCATGGGGAAGTGGAACAGAATTCTTCCTCCATAAGCCATGCGTGTTGTAAGAGCCGACTGAAATGCTGGGAGCAAGGGGCTAGTAACCTCTTCTCCTGTATATATTACTAAATTTGAAAGGAGAAACTTTCGTTTTTCCTTTTGAGCCACCCCACCTCGGTGGGATACGGCTGGTACGTTGAAAGAAGAAAGAACTGTGGTTTACATATAAAATACTAGTTAAAAAGAGGGCCATTTCATAACTAGCATGACTAGGCATTTTGGGCAGACTAATAATAATTAAAACTATATTGATACAGGTTATGGAGCATGTTGATATTAAGGGTAGGTAACTGTATTACAGTTTGTAAATTTAGCAGTGATACATAGTTTCTACTAAAACTCCTATATTGGATTATCTCAGGCAAACTTATGACTACTTTAACCTTTTCAGGGTCCGTGTCGTAGTTCTATGGCTTTGAGTTGAGGGTCTAAACCATTGTTCTATGCCATGAGCTCAGCTCACTCTGATAAGCTGTGAGTGGTAAATTTGGGCCTAGATATGAGAGAATCCATCTATGTGGTATGTGTGTGCAACACATAAAACAAATCCTGCAGCACACAGTGCATAATGAGAGAAAAAAATGGCCACCATAATTTTTTATTAAAACATCGACTTTGCAGTGTGTTTTTGCAAGTTTTTATAGTTGTATTTGCGATTTCTTGGTCTCAATTGATAGAATGGAAGATATATTACAGAAATAGAGATGATTTTGATTGGTTTTAGTACCGGAAATGGCTCGAAACTAAGCTCAAAGTAGCAGAAATGCTAAATTTTTGCTGATGTTCAAGAGTAAACAAATGACCTCACGTCTAATACACGCATGCTGGTGGGTCTAATATACATTCACAAATATCGTGATATTATTTATGCAATTAAAATATTGCATAACAGTAAATCTTCTATTTGGTTTGATTAAAAATTCATTATGTGAATAAAAAATCAAAATGAAATTCATTTATAAAGCCTGAAAACATAACTAATGAACAAAGGAAATTTTAGTTTAGTGCCAGGAATGCCAGCATTGTTTATTCTAGACCCTATCTGGAAACTGGAATATTTTGAACTTTGCGTTAAATTGGCCAACTTACTAATTTCCGATCACTTTATTTTGTAGTTTAAACAACTGACTTGGCAATTTCTTGTGTTCAATCGATAGAACAGAAGTAATACTAGTGAAATAGCTAGGAATTTGGTCGACTGGATTAATGTAATAGGCCTAAAATGGGAGTCAAAGTCGGCACAATCATCGATGCGTAAATATCGGACACATCAAAATTCTCAAGAGCATAATTTCATCAATTTCATAATTTTTATTTTATTACCTTCAGAAAAAGATTCTCTACCATTTCATAAGAAAAAATAACAATTTTTTTTTTTTAAATTCTTGGACCCTGGTGCACACTGAAATTTGGCCTCTGGACCCTGAAAGGGTTAAGATTCATTAAGAAATAGATTTATTACGTAATTTTATTTTTACAGCCATTTGGGCGAGTGTAAGTGTAAATTGGGGAGAATCACAGATATCAAGAGTAGGTCTAGTTTGTATTTTGTGTGTGTATGATACACGTATGAGAATAGGAGGTTTTCATGTAGTTAGCTGATGGTGGAGTGTGTCAGCGAGATGTTTTTTTAATGGTAGTTTTGAAAGTGATGTTTGTGTCTGCAGTTCTAGAATTTTCAGGTAGGGTGTTGCAGATTTTAGGTCCTTTTATGTGCACTGAATTTTTGTATAGGTTTAGCCGGACACGGGGAATGTCATAGAGATTTTTGTGCCTGGTGTTGTGCCTGTGCATCCTGTTACAACTATCAAGAAAGTGTTTTAGTTCTGGGTTAATATTGGAATTTACGGTTCTGTAAATGTAGGTTGCACAATAGCAAGTGTGGATGTTCTGTACAGTAAGTTTAGATCTTTGAAGAGTGGGGGTGTATGTGTCCTGGGATTGGATTGCATTGGGTTATTACTGGCTTTAGGTGTGTTCCTCTTCAAGGGGGGCTCCTTGGCATGGTGAAGAGGCTCTTGGTCTGAGGAATCAGACCTGTCGGTCTCCTTCCTCAGACCGAACCTAATTACCCCCCAATCCCCCCCTTCCCTCTCCCATCCTCCCCTTTTTCCTTTCTTCCTCCTCCTCCCCACCCCTCCCTTTTGCCCTTCCTTTTTGGCCTTTGGGATTTTTTCCCACAGGCACGCTAGTTCCTAGGTAGGGGAAAGAGTACCGGGGTCCATCCCATTCCGTTGAGGTTCTTGGTGGTGGCGTAGTTTGCCGTGGAATCTGGATTGCCTGGGGATGTCCCGATCCCTCTCCAGTATCCCGGAGGGTGGCTTTGGGTGTCTTTCGGGCGACGGGTGTATCTCTGGAAGCCACCTTTCGGATTCCGGGGGTGGTGGCCAAAGGAGGTATGCTTTGTGGCGGATATCCGGCCGCCCTCTCTTTTGTCCACCGAGGTAGCTCGGCAGATGTGAGGTTGCTATCCTGGATTGCTGGTTTACTGGCATGATGGGTAGGGTATGGCACGGGTTCCATGCTGCATCTGCGTTACTTGCGGTGCTGAGGTCCTCTTGGGCGCGGAGGGAGATTTCTGGCCCTTTCATTCCTCCTAGGAACTATCCCTCCCCGGTCCCCCCTTTTTTTATTCTTTTTTTTTTATTTTTATTTTCTTTTCTTCTTTCGTTTTTTTTTTCTTAAAAAGAAAGAAGTAACTTAACCATGGAAGCCCTAGTCCACGAACCTACTACCCCCGGGCCCCTTCTTGATACCGCACCCTGTTCTGACCCCGCCTCGTCTTTGGACCACTCTTCGGACACTCCTAATGCCTCTGTACCTCTTGTTGGTGCTGTTTCCTCACCTGCTTCAGGTACTGAGGTCTCAACTGGCTCCTTCGATTTATCTGACCTCCGCTCTCCTTTGACTATGCTTCCGGCCTCTCCCTCTACAGTGCTGCAATTTTCGAATCGCCGACCCGTTCCACGTTGGACCAACTCTGGTCCCACTCCTAAACGCCAATGACAATTACCTGCTGATGATACTTCTCCACCTTCTCGTTCTTCTCAGAAAAGATCGACACGTCCTGTACTCCTTTTCCACGCTCAGTTTCAGAATGCACAATGGACTAAATTCTTCACTTTACGACTGACTTCCTATATTGCCTATCTTTCCGACCATAGTATTAGCAAGGCACTCCTACGCCATGTTGGTAAAGATATTTCTTTTCATGCTCTTAAGAGTGGTACGTGCATCATCACTGTACAGAATGCTACCCAAGCTCATGATCTTTCTCTTCTTTCCCATATCGATACTATTCCTGTCACTATTGAAAAACATCAATCCCTCAATTCTTGTAGTGGTACCGCCATTCTGCCCCATACCATAGTTCAACAAAATTTCCAGACATGTGGCAATGACATTCTTGAACAGCTGGAACTCCAAGATCTCCCAATCCTCAAGGTAGACACTTATGTTCTTCCTGCCCGCGGGCGGAAACGATACCCTAGCAATGTGGCTTGTTTAACTTTTGACAGCCGTGAACTCCCATCCTCAGTTTATGTAGCAGGACATCGGTTACAAGTTCGAAAGGTGATCCCTACACTGCAACAGTGTAGAAATTGCTGGCGATTTGGCCATCCAGCGAAATATTGCAGATCTATAGCCAAATGCCCAGTCTGTGGTGCCGATGACAATTCTAATACGTCTTGCAATCGACCTCCCTCTTGCCTTAATTGTCATGAGGCTCACCCTTAGTACTCTCGCCGTTGCCAAGTCTACTTAAATGAGCGGGAAATCCGTTACCTCAAAGAGGCAGAAGGTCTGCTTTATGCCATGGCAGTTTCTCATCTCCGCCTCCAAGGGAGACTACCTCGTGTTTCTTATTCCCGTGTTTCAAAACGTCCCCCCACTTCTGGGGTCCCATCTTCTGCAGCCTCCTCTGTGGTTACCTCTCCCATAGTCACTCCTGTATCTAATTCTTTTCCTGTCCTGGGCTCAGACATCCCTACTTCAACGCCTCAGTCTGTTCTCGCTTCTTTGTGTTCTCCCACACAAGCCTCGATATCGACAAGATCTCGTACGACACCTCCTCCCAATTGTCCCTCTACTTCTCAGAAGTCAAAAAAAGGTCCTTTAACCCCTCCTTCCCTTCTTCCACCTCCTCATTTTACCTTCCCTGTTTCTGTACCTGGTTCTTCCCCTCTCACTGGCTCTGTTACAAGTGTAGAGGTTCACCCTCCTCCTCGTACTGTACCTTCCTCCCCTGTTCCCTCCCAAGTTTCTTCCTCTTCTGCCACCTCCCAGGTTTTTGCCTCTTCTGTCCCCTTCCATGCTTCTTCTCCAGTTCCCTCCACCCTTCCGCCCCCCCCCCTACCTTGGTACAGTCCATTACAGTT